ACGCCATAATTGATTTTGAATATTTTCACTTTGTGGCATCTATGCCACCTTCATTCTACAGGGCCCTCTACATAGATTCCATCAAGTGCTACACACTCCTCATTATCCTCTTAGCCCAAGATTGAAAGACAAGGCCGAATCCATTCTCTGACATGGTAGCAACCTGCAGTTACACAATTTGCATTACTTCAGAATATGTGACGTAAATGTCGGTCCCGGGGTACCTGTACCCCCTTCATGAAAATAAAGACATATCAACACGCATTACATATCTTGTCTTCAAATATTCAGAGTTGATAGATAATTGAATGATGTATCACTGGTGAAAAAATCAAAGAGATTGGTCCATAAAAAGCATCAGTGTAAAAAAGCGTCCATTACTTATTGATCACCCCTCGTATTCTAGACCAGGAATAAATCGAAAGTTCTGGGACTAAAAAATTCCGACCAATTGAAACGAATATAGGAGATATTACAATGAAAGTTGGAACGTAGAGAAAATAAATATGCAAAAGCATTCTTGTGATAGAACAAAGGCATAGATACTTTACTATAGACAGTTTTCTTTGACTTCGAATGTATAACACAAACAGGTATCCATGCTTTATCACAAAATAATTGATTGTGTGACGTATTTATCAATTTATCTATGTGAACCCCGATTTCCTCCCGATTATCATTGTAAACTCCAGATTTTCTCCCGATTATCCTAATCAATCCAGATTCTCTCCCGATTATTTGTGTTAACCCTGATTTCCTCCCGACTTTCATTGTAAACTCCCGATTTCCCCCAATTATCCTAAACAATCCCGATTCTCTCCCGATTTTTTTTTATAGAAAATCCGATTTCCCTCGATTTTTCTTTAAAAATCCTGACTTATCCCGATTTTTAAAACGAAACCAAAATATTTAACGTCATAAGTGGACGAAGGTAGTTTTACCATAGTTTTGATAGATGGCAGTTAAAACGCTAACAAAAGTAAACAAAGGCTCCGACGATTATGTCGGTTTACTACTACATTCTGAGTCATAAGTACATTCTAACTGTATAATTCTGAGCATAAATGTGTATGGATTAACGTTACCGATACAATTGTAGCGATATACCTTGATTTATCGCGAATTTTGGACGAAATAAAAACATTCAAGAAATTTTCCTGGATTTGTCAAAGATGGCGACTTTTGATGGAAGTAAGACCTGCCTTGTCGATATGAACGACCTGGACATATGTGTATATCGCTTGCTAACAAACGTGGAGTGTAAACCTAGACATGAAATCACTGAGCAATTGGTGATGGACGTAGATGATAGTCTGTTGATTGAGTCTAGAAGTATATTGTTTGAAATGGCGAAGAACAAATTCTCAAATCAGTGCATGAAGGAATTTGGGCCGATTTCCGCCCGTGGATATGAACAGCTAGAGGATGTTAAACCCAAGAAACGGACTGGCGACAAGAAAAGCATGAGCATCGCTAATGATATTTATGAACTTTACACATACCAAACGGATCTAATCGACGTTTTTCCAAGGTGTGTGTCTTCGCCTACAAGTCACATTCCGGTACTGAAGAAGCGGGGCACACAGCCCCCTACCGCACCCCAAATGGATTTAACACTGAAATTGATGGATTTAACACAACAAGTGAAAGAGATAAGTAAGGAGTTAGCACAAGTAAAGAAAGACTATGAAAGTGATGTTAATAGACTGAACAGAATGGTGAATACACTAAAGATCGAATTAGGTCAACACACATGCGATGTGATTAGCCCTATGTTTTCCAAGCCTAATAGGCTAAGGGCTAATTCTGTTCCGACCAGTTCCACAGTCAACGTAGCCAATTCCCAAACAGCTGTTCGCTCAAAACAACAACAAATAGGTGATACATATCCAGCAATCGTAATGTTAAATCGGACATCACCTTATCTCCTAACTGGTACTATTACTGAGATTTCGTATCAACACTTTAGTCTACTAAATTAATGTTTAAAACTCATATATGTGAGCGTTAATGCAGGGGCATTTCATACAGGCTATAAACACCGCCCTTTCATCAAATGTGTTTCCTGGTTTCCTTAATTTCGCCAATTTCTTAAGAAATTGATGGATAATTTCAAGATTATATGATCAGACACATAAACATGGCATATATATTAGTTTCTCATATTTAGTGGTTGTTTTTTAGTTGTTGTTTTTTGTTGAACCATATATTACGTACATGGATAACTGTATTTTATTAACAAGTAGGCTGCATCTTGTATTGCCAAAACATAGCATCAAGTTTCACTAAAGCTGCATAGAACACTTCTTATCAGATGTGTTGACAGCTCCCCTGATAAAGAAAGTGTCTGGTAATTTCTGGATTTGACTAACAACAAACCCGAAACTCAAGGTCATTGCAACTCTACCTGTAATACTCAGTGTGCCGACTCAACGCCAACCTCAGGGGCAATGCCCTAGTATGTATCCAACAGACCGAATATAATATTCGGTCTGTTATGATTGATACCCCTGGCATGGAAATCTCGGCGATATTTTGTGCACATAAATATCTCGTTTATTACAAGAATGTTCACCTTGAAAATTGGTGAATATGTTGAAAAGATGTTCATCTTAAACTAGAAGCAAAAATATTTGTATAAGGCGGGTACAAGTTGATATAAAATAATGAAATGTTCAGACTCACCAAAAGTTCAGGATGTGTTCATAAGTAGATCCCGAAACCAATGTCAAGGACGTTTTGAGTTCACGAGATCCAAACGAGATATGCAAATTTTTGAACTTTGACAACACATGACCACTTGATTACCTCGGCCTTCTTCATGAATATTTCCGCTCTATTTACTATAAATGACGAGATTAATCGGGATAATGATAATAAATGACTAGATCTAATAAATTCCCGCCCGAATGGAATTTATCAATACGCTTCCGTAATGTTGCTCCGTCAGCTCCACGTGTTATTTGTTTACAAATAGACTGACGTCACTGGCTAAATCTCGTTTATCGTGAGAATTGGCATTGCCAAAATGGCTTGACCTAATCAATGGCTTCGCTACAAGAAGCGTCTGTACATTTTATGAATATCTTCAGTAAGAGGACAATATACGAAAAAATAATATTGTAAGTTCTTTATAAGGTAATCATTTTATCATTAAACAAACTTATTTGTAACATTTATACAACACCACATTTTACAATAGGTGACTTACAGTCTGAATATTTATTCAGACGAAGGATACAGTCTAGGCAATGCCCCCTAGTTCGAATACTACATTCAGCTTTATACAGCCAAGCACCGTTATTAAGGACACAACTGTGATCGACAAAAACACACGTGAAAACATGAAAACGCCAAAAACTGGAATTAAACCCTCAACGACAGTAGCCATAGGTGATGAATCTAAAGAAGAAACCGATGGGTTCACGTTGGTTGAACGTCGTAGAAAGTCACCTGTCGCCACCGAAAACCGCTTTGGTGAAGAGAGACCAGCGAAAATGCAGACTTTAGGGAAGACCCCGAAGCCCAATAAACCACATGACGTTAAAGAGACGCCTGTTAACAAGCCAATGAAAGGTCTCAAGGTTGCGTCTTTTGAAAGATCGCAATCGCTATACCTCGAAAATATTCAAATGGACGATAATGATACCGATGATGATATTATTGCACTTGTTAAAGAACATGCAAAAAGTAAGGGGATCAAGTTAATGCAAGCATACGTTATCCATAACCGATTCTCGATGTATCGTGTTGGCGTCAGAATGACTGTTCCCGTCTCATCAGCAGATAAGGCTGTTGAAGATGATTCATGGCCTGCCCCGATAAAATGTCGCCAATGGCAGCGCTTCAGGCAGAACGCAAATTATGGTGACAACATTCCCTCCCGGATTACATATAGGTCCAGACGATATCAACATGATAATAACCTTATCGATCGACCGTCATGGGAACGCGATGATGAGAAAACTGACTATTTTAAAGACGACAATATGTACCACAGGAACATGTGTGACGCAACACGGGAGTATGTACGGGAGAAATTCGGCAATAACCTGGGAGCAACAGGTTCTTACGCTGACTGGTAGATAACTGTTTTTTACTATCGAAACACTGCCCTCATATTTGAGATGCATACCGTGTTTATTGTTTTTTCTCTTTTTAATTATAATTATACTCTTCTCTCAAATGCATGTAACAGATTCAACTGGGAAACAATTGGTTATATCCGCATGGAACGTTAACGGGTTGAATGCATCGAATGTAAGGCTACATATGCTTTGCGAAAATTCGGATATTGTATGTATAAATGAACATTATTGGTTATTTGAAGGAAGTCTTAACGAACTACAAAATGTTCATGACAGATTCACTTATACAGCTGCTAGTAGTAAATCCTTGGATCCCTTAGAACAGGGCCATGTTATTGGAAATGGTGGGGTTGCAATACTATGGCGGAAGTCACTTAGTCACTGCATCTTTCCAGTAGTGAAATACAAGACCGATCGAGTGATTGTAATTAAAGTTCTACAGCCCCCCTACAAATGTGTTTATGTCATATGTTGTTATCTGCCCCATGCAAACTGTAAAACGGAAAATTTCCTCGAGGTATTAGATTATCTAGAGAACGTTCTTGAAGAGGTATCATCTCAGAACAGTAACTTTGTTATAATTGGAGACATGAACGCTCACTTTGGCGATAGTGTAGGTACACGTGGTACAGGTGCAATCTCAAATAACGGTAAACTCCTGAATCAAATGTGTAAACGAACTGGTTTGACTCCTATAGATATGTTCCCAATTTGTACGGGACCAACATATACGTTCTTTAGGGATTATACTGGTGAGTCGTACATTGACCATATTCTTGTCACCGGCGGTCTTGTTTCAAAATGCTTAAATGTAAAAGTGTTTGATGAAGATTTAACAAATATGTCAGATCATTTGCCAATTAAAGTAACTCTAAATATTGAAACTCAACCAGCAGCGAGAAAAAACGAGTCTCGTTCTTATAAGTCACGCCCCGCATGGAATAAAGCTACAGATGAGCACTTGAAACAATATAAGCAACTGATGAATGTGAAAATTTCTAGCCTGATACGAGATATGAATAAAAGTGGCAGTATGTCAAACATGGACATTGAACTATTTTTTAATGAATTGTCCGATATAATTAATGATGTAACCTCCCAGTCCTTACCAAAATCAAGGTTCAACAAACATTTAAAACCATATTGGACGGAGACTGTAAAAGAATGCTTGAAACAAAAGAAAATGACGTGGAATAGATGGAAGTTCTATGGAAAATCTAGAGAGCCAGAAAATGCATATTGGAAGGCTTACAAGGATGCAAAAAGAATGTTTAGAAAGGCAATCCGTAGGGCTCAATATGATTTTGAAATTAAGTGTCAAAAGGAAATTGATGACGCTGCAGATTTATCCTTAAACAAGTTTTGGTACTTGATCAAACAACGCAAGGGTAATTTGTGTAAATCCATCGCAATACGAAATGATGAAGGACTAGTGCTCACTGAGCCCGATGAAGTACTAATGGAATGGAAGTCCTATTTTGAGAAGCTAGTGTCCCTCAAGAAAGATACACCATATGACAGCGAATTTGAAAAGATGATTAATAATGAAGTAGATGAAATGAAACGAGACAGTTTTAACAATGACGACGGAGCTTTCACAGAGGCATTAACGTGCAATGAAGTACATCTAATCACATCCAAGTTAAAAAATGGGAAAGCTCCCGGGTGGGATCAAATTATACCGGAGCACATTAAGAATGGGGGAGATTTATTAATCCAAGCTCTAACACTTCTGTACAATGAGATGGTACGCACTGAATATGTCCCAGAAAGTTTTAAGCTAGGACTGCTCATACCTCTCTTCAAGGGTGGTAACAAGGACATCTTATCAAAAGATGACCATCGTGGCATTACATTGATGACCACGTACATGAAAATGTTCGAGAGAATTATGATGTCAAGAAGCCAATTATGTGCACAAACAGAAGAGGTTTCAAACATGCAAGGTGTTAACAAGGCCAAATGTTCTAGTCTTCACACATCTCTTGTTACAAGAGAAGCAATAGCAACAGGTTTAGAAAACGGTAATAATGTCATTGTGACGTCATTAGACATTAAAAAAGCTTTTGATGGCGTTTGGCATATTGGGTTGTATCATAAAATGTATAAACAGGGAATAAACGGCAAACTATGGAGAATGCTAAGAAATTGTTATGATGGATATAAATGTGCTATTAAATTGAATGTGAACATAGACTCAATGTTTAAAGCAGTTAAAGAGGATTTAAATATTCCCCAAGCAATATCTCGGTTTCTAAGTGAAAATGCAAATATTTCAGATCTGTTTCCTGTGGAGCAGGGTGTGCACCAAGGTGGTGTTTGGTCAATGGAATTATACGCAAGGTACACCAATGAACTATTAAATGAGATATGTGATAGTATGACTGGATGTTCTATAGGAAATGTTGTATGTAGCTGCCCCACGTTTGCTGATGACATGAACTTATTAGCATATCATGGTAATACAATGCAGGTTCTACTGCGTAAAGTTTTTGATTATAGCTGCAAATGGAGATTTCAGTTTCACCCAAAGAAATGTAAGGCCGTTGTGTTTAGTAGAGAGAGAAACCCCCCAAAACCAATTCTGAAATTAGGGAATCACATTATTCCCATCGAGAATTCAATAGATCATGTTGGGCTGCCACTTACAAATAGCAATTCAGTAAAAGAATACATGGACACACGTATCTCGAAAGGAAGACGAGCAATGATTGCCTATTTAGGAACTACAGCCAGCAATAACAATCCAACAAATCCTCTAACAGCGTCAAAGATTTACTGGTCAATATGTTTCCCCACTATGACGTATGGAATGAGTCTTTTGCCTCTTAAAGATACTGACTATGACAGGCTAGAGACAGCACACAGGGGAATAGCAAAGAAGATACAAGGGCTTCCTATCACGACCAGCAACCAGGCAACCATACAACAACTTGGTTGGAGAGACGTAACGTCAAAGATCGTAGTAGACAAAATCATGTTAGTGTGGCAATCTCTACCAATGAACAATGTATATAAGATGATCGCGATAATGAGAATCATAGCGTACAGAACACGTGATCTAGCTTTAGTGTCCCCTATTGGTGATTGCATGAGAGTAGCTGAACATCTAGGCATTCAGCACAAAATATATGATATGATAGATACAGGAATGGTACCAAGTAAATGCGAATGGAAGAAGATGGTGTCAGATAATACAAGAGAATATGCAATGTGGCAGTGAAAAATACAGTGTATGTTCAATCACAACGCTTCCCTATATAGGAATGTAATACGCTTTGGCACACCAATAATGTGGTGGAAAATTGCATTTCGCGAATGCCAATATATTCGCATATGTAAGACAATGATGATCCTACTAACTGGAGGGAGTAATCTATGTGCTATCACAGGCAAATGGGGCGACATGAAAGACAGGCATAACGGGCGACTATGTAAAGCTTGTGGTGAAGAGGATGAGACCTTGGAACATTTCATGTTAAAATGTAAATATTTCTCAGCCGAACGAAAAATCATTCTAGATATAGTTAAAAATCACTCGCTGATATTGAATCAAAGTAATGAGCAAATTCTAAGACTAATATTTGGTGAAAATGAACAATTGCCACCTGATCAGTACATATTAATTGCGAAGAATGTTCATATTCCTGTTATGCGTATCTCAAATAGTCAAAATAACTCCAGAGCATTGGGCCTGTTGCGGTTACGGGTCAACGCGGTAGCCTGGCGTCCGGCCGTTTAATAGGGGGTGCTCTGGATGTGATGTGATTACTGATTATGTTCCTTATATGTATATAATGTATATAACTTTTTGCTAATTTATTTTATTTTATAAGAAATTGTACTCTTCAGAATTGGAAGAAATAAAGATACAAACAAACAAACAAACAAACCATACAACCATGTATAAATAACAAAGTCATCAAATAACCTCTGCAGTGAATATTTTTATGTTCCGTGGTTAGATTCGAATAGCAATGTATGAAAACCGAGAAACATGAGCTAATTGGAATTAACTGCAGGTGTGCTTATAACAATATAGATAACATAAGCAAGAAACAACGTGTATGCACAATATGTAAGTATAATTGTTTTATGCATAATTATATCAGTTTAATAGTACAATACAGTCACCTTTTTATCGGCATGTTTTACGCCATTTTCGTATCCCCTTTATCAAATATTACAGCGTACCCGTTTGTGAAATGTTACAGCGTAACATACCGTTGCTAAACTCAAAACACGACGGAAATTGATAAAATCTCTAGCTGGAAACGATATCCGTGAATATAGTGATAAATTTTATACTTTGACCAGTGAATCTAGTCTTCTCAAATCTAAACTTCAGGCTATTACACAAGTAACTGCATTGTCCACATTCTAACGAATATAAAGCCATAACTGCAGACATCGACCAGAAACTTAAAGATCAAACTCAAGATTTGGAGACCTATACACTAGTGATCCGATCACAATAACAAAATTGACGAACTTTTCAAATCATCTAATGTAAAATTCCATTTTTGGGGACCACAAGGAAATCGCATCTTACAGATAATCTCACCACAAAATCCATATCCAACACTATAACCAACCAACCACCCACTGATCTTTGATGTCTGAGAAACGATTGCTTGCGTCGGATGACTATTGAATGATGACAATGAATATTTTGCAATTTTGATTTGTCAGATTTTAATTTAATGATTACTTCATTTCTTTCATTAACTTTTGGATTATACACTCGGACCAGTATGGCAACTATGCCTCTATGCATGGTGTGTATTAGTTATGATTATTGTGGTGATTTATATGCCTATCATGGTGAATGTATATGAACATATTGCCTTTATGATGAGGAATTTACCTTCATACGGTGAACATTGTGCCTTTACATTTTTATGTTATATTATTTGCCACCCTCGGGCCTACCAGCGCCCAGGTTACAGTAATGAAACGTGTTTATAAAGAAATGATAGTACTTAAACATATTACGCTGTTCCTGTATTAAAACGTGGGTTAATGCTGCTGTATGTTTTGCAGCGAGGAAACATCCTTAGATATAATATACATGGCAGAATTCACAATAGGGGTGCAGGAGTTTTATACATTATTGCTCATGGCTTTATGTAAGTCACTTGATCATTTGACTTATTAGATCTCTTAAGAACAAAATCTTTATAGACGAATCCATGCAATAATCTTTAAATAATTAAAAATCAACTCAAAATTGAATGATGTTTTCTGTTTTAGCATTTTGGATTCTCATCACCAGCATTATTTCATTTGTACACTCCCCTCCATAAGTTTGGCAACCTTAGCTCCCCCATTGGACTACGTGTTAAAGCCTCTTAGCGTTTGAATTTTTATTTACTTAACCTGCAATGAATAATTTATAATATTGATGTAAACGCAACTTGACTTTATTTCAAATACCTTCAAATTTTCCCATTTTTTCCACAATTACAATAGGTCGAAAAATGATGATTAATTTGATCAACTTTTGTAAACCAATGGGAAATGATGGGTTTGGGGCAAATCAGAAATCAAGATATCTATTCAGTAAAAGATTCAGCAAAAAATAATCTTATATAGAACATTGAATTGTCTAACGTTTTGTACACTAAGTGTTTAATTTACTTGATGCATACTTAAGTAACAGAGCTTCAAAGTCATTTTTGAAAATCGCCTCCTGTGTTATTTCAATGGGAGAGTTTTTTTGAAAAACAATTTTGTCTTTAAAGACCTATTACTTTGTTGAACCTGAAGAAACGTACCAATTTTTTGTCAAATAAAGTTAGCAAGTTCAATTGTCTACCTAACTTGTATTTTTTTGCAAGGACTCGGATGGATGAATATTTTGTCATATGACTTGCGGCAAACCTACCATTTCCCATTGGTTAACATAGGAATGTTGATTTTCAAAAATGCATCAAATTTATCATCAATTTCCGTCCTATTGTAATTGAGGAAAAAATTGAGAAAGTTTGGAGGTATTGGAAATAAAGTCAAATTACATCTCCATCAATAGTATAAGTATTTTCATCGCAGGTTAAGTAAATACAATTCAAAGGTAAAGAGGCTTCAACACGAAGTTCAATGGGGGGGCTAAGGTTGCCAAACTTATGGAGGGGAGTGTACCATCGTCTTGTTAGAAGAGGTATACTGTTATAGTCCAATCTTTATATTTTAGGCGTGATGTCTTGTACGGCAGATAAACCATGGTGTAAGGGCACTGTATGGAAGGAGAAGGGTATGTAACTAATTCACAGTACAAATAGTTAATGTAAAATTGTTAGACTATATATGGGGAGTTATTTTTATAGTTTATATTAAAACGAATTGGAGCAATGTCTGCAGAGGTAATTAAATACTAAACTTGGGAATTATGAGTAAATTTTGGTAATTGCATGTCTCATGTAGATATTGAAAATTTGGCGCTCGGAAAACCTGCCTCGCAATCAAAATCCACGACATTGAATGCTGGTCTTGCTGTCGATGGTGTAGAGGATGGCGAATACTACCATGGCTCATGCACCCATACTCACATGACGAGCGGCAATTGGTGGATGGTTGACTTGCAGGATATTTATCCCATTGGATCCGTCAAGCTGATAAACAGGAAATGTGGCGAAAGCAATTGTAGAAGTCCTCAGTACGCTACGTATGATGTAGAAGGTACTTTTCACTGAAATTTGAAAACCCAAACCTCCATTGAGCTTGTGTTAAAGGCTATCCATGTTGCAATTTTTATTCGTAAAACCGGTTTTAGATGAATATCTAACCACAGCTGCTAAGCAGCAAAACCAAAGAAGAAAAATACATTAAAGGGACCCAACACCATGGTCACATGATCAGTCGTGTGGAGGTAAGCTCCCAGTTGAAATGAAAGCACTGTCCTCCTTTGGTTTCTGTGAAAAGTAGCTAATACCCTCATGTATTGGTCAGTTTGTGTGTCACACGACTAATCCATACCATATGCTTCATTCAACATATTTTATGCTATTGAGCTGCATATATAAACAGTACTTTGCAACTAAGGTCATACAGTATACTTACCCCTTGCAAATTGTAATTTTTTGAATTCACAGTAAACCCATCAATTTTTAAGAAAACAAAGAATATTGTTCTCATGGATCTATTATTTATGTTAGACTAACTATGAAAATATAAATATGAAATAATATGTTAGCTTGAAGTCATATATAAGATGAAAATATATGTTCATGCATTTGCATTTTTCCAAAGGGAATATTCCCATGTAAGTAAATACAGGTGCAATATATAATTTATATGTATATCTATGTCATCTGTCTATACATGCGCGTATAGCCTAGTGTTACATGTGAACAAGATGGTTCTTGAAAGAAATGAGCGTGGCAGATTTGCTAAAAAGCCACATACACCACAAAAGCAAGACCAATTTGAAAGTAAGTTCATTATTCTCAAGGGTACACTTCAAGTGAAAGCTGCATTGCTACAGGGTGGCCTATCATTCTGAGACAAATGTATTATCCAACGATTGTGATTTTCGAAGCTAAAATATGATATCTTGAGCAGATGGAAATACATTCCCATGAGATATGTATATATAGTCAAAAGTGATAACTATTTATTGAGTGTAATGAAATGTATCCTTCGCTAACTGCTTTTGTTTGAGATAATTAACATGAAATATTTTTAAATTAATTTTTATGTGTGTCATTGATCCTAATCCACCCTGTAGTCTGGTGTTTGTAGAGCATTGCGACTCGTACAACTTATTCTCACAAATATCAAACCTCATTTACTAATTAATTTTTTGTGTGAATATGAAGAGTCCAAGCATTGCCTTTTTATGTTTATTGTATAGCTATATTTAGCCTTGATATCCATGATTTTTTAAAACAAAATCTCACCGTTAGATTTCGAGCTATTCATGTTTACTCATTTGTCTAATTGGAAAACAATGCAAATCTCATTTTTTTCAAAAGAAAAAAATTGAAATTCTAAGACGGTGAAAAATCATTAAAAAATACACAGATTCAGAATCCGGCAAGCATTTTCCCTTATTCCTCTCCGTTAAGAAGTTTTGTAAGGTGTTGGATTCCTTAAAAGAGATCATCTTATCATGAAGGGTAACAAACCATAAGTACCCCAAACTATGATCTAATGCACAGGGGAGCCGTGCCTAACAACTGCCTCGACCATTAAGGAACAGATACAACAATGCTTTTAATATTAAAAATGTCAATTACAGTTATTTTGTGTTATTTTACAGATCATCTTTCAAATTTTAAAATCAAAGTCAGCAAAGACTCTAAAAAGTGGGAGCTATGTACTTACTTCAGAAGTACAATGGAATCTTGTAAAAAAGGCTGTCAGATGTTTTACTGTCCAAGTGGATTGAAAGGGCGCTACGTCAAGGTTCAGTTGCAAGAAATGAACTTTCTCTCACTCTGTGGAGTTGCTGTTTTTCGACCATCAAGTAAGTAATTTCTTTATGAATAAAATATATGACATATACGAGACACATCGCCACATTCTGAAAATACAAGCATTCGAGAATTTCTAATGGTGAATTATGAGACCTATTTGTATAAAATCTGATAAAATGACCAATTCCTATCCCATAATGCCATATGGTCTCATAATGTTACAGAATTAAACAATCTTGCCCTTGATAAAGTTGCAACACAATCGTCGATTGATCAAAACATTAGTACAAATGGTGCCGCCGCAATTGATGGAAATGTAGATGGCGACGTTGAACACATGTCTTGTATTCAAACCAGAAGTGAGAGAAAGCCATGGTGGATGGTAGACTTACTTTCTCAGTATGCCATTGGGTCTGTGGCAGTGTTTAATAGGCAATGTCGTGGCATTAAGAATTGTGGCAAACGTCATCTTGAAGTTATTTGTTTGCATTATTGCACGATTGAACTCATGAACTAAGAGCTTATTAGTTTTATTTAATTTAAAATTACCCGTGTACGTCCCAGTTGCTATCCAGGAATGTCCATAATTATATTTTATACATCACAATATAAGGTCGACATATTTTGTCAAAGTGTTGAAGAAGGTTTCCGATGAGCAATTTTTCCTTGCTTTCATATTTTTATCCTTTTCAATTCAAAAGTGCTTAAAATATTTTTAGAACGACTCCAAAACTTCAAAATTGAATTGAGTCGGGACAATGTGACTTGGGATCTATGCTATCATCAGAAAAGTACTTTGGGAACATGTGGGCATGATTGGCGGATGTTTAAATGTCCACATGGCTTATATGGGCGTTATGTAAGAGTACAGCACCATTTCAACTATCCACGCATTCTCACACTTTGTGAAGTTGCTGTTTTCGAACCATGAAGTACAACACTATAATTCATTCATTTACGTTTATTCTATCCGCCAATAATGATATGTTTACATGTATTACCATAATATGATTGTAAAATTTCTTGAGAATTCAGAAAATACAGTCTTCTTGAAAATTGTTCACTTAACATGCCTTTGCTATTATGAGTATAACATGAGTCTTACGAATATGCATATAAATTAAGCTATTGTATCGTTTAAGATACAGGTGAATTTATACTTAAATTACTACATTGAATTGAATTTGGCATAGATTTGGTTACAGTATTTGTTTGTAGAAACCATGGAATCATCGATTGTGGTTAACGAACAAAATGTTTTATTACGATCAATCCAATAAATAAAGGTTAATGCACAACCACCAATCATTGAAAATATCATTGAAATAATGAAACCACACTGTGTATGCGTATATTTTATGCTACTTATACAAACCAACCTACTTAGTTATGAAATCATAGCCTTTTATCTCTGTTTACTTCAAACAATGAAAAATTGATAAAAAATTGATAAAATCTCTAGCTGGAAACGATATCCGTGAATATAGTGATAAATTTTATACTTTGACCAGTGAATCTAGTCTTCTCAAATCTAAACTTCAGGCTATTACACAAGTAACTGCATTGTCCACATTCTAACGAATATAAAGCCATAACTGCAGACATCGACCAGAAACTTAAAGATCAAACTCAAGATTTGGAGACCTATACACTAGTGATCCGATCACAATAACAAAATTGACGAACTTTTCAAATCATCTAATGTAAAATTCCATTTTTGGGGACCACAAGGAAATCGCATCTTACAGATAATCTCACCACAAAATCCATATCCAACACTATAACCAACCAACCACCCACTGATCTTTGATGTCTGAGAAACGATTGCTTGCGTCGGATGACTATTGAATGATGACAATGAATATTTTGCAATTTTGATTTGTCAGATTTTAATTTAATGATTACTTCATTTCTTTCATTAACTTTTGGATTATACACTCGGACCAGTATGGCAACTATGCCTCTATGCATGGTGTGTATTAGTTATGATTATTGTGGTGATTTATATGCCTATCATGGTGAATGTATATGAACATATTGCCTTTATGATGAGGAATTTACCTTCATACGGTGAACATTGTGCCTTTACATTTTTATGTTATATTATTTGCCACCCTCGGGCCTACCAGCGCCCAGGTTACAGTAATGAAACGTGTTTATAAAGAAATGATAGTACTTAAACATATTACGCTGTTCCTGTATTAAAACGTGGGTTAATGCTGCTGTATGTTTTGCAGCGAGGAAACATCCTTAGATATAATATACATGGCAGAATTCACAATAGGGGTGCAGGAGTTTTATACATTATTGCTCATGGCTTTATGTAAGTCACTTGATCATTTGACTTATTAGATCTCTTAAGAACAAAATCTTTATAGACGAATCCATGCAATAATCTTTAAATAATTAAAAATCAACTCAAAATTGAATGATGTTTTCTGTTTTAGCATTTTGGATTCTCATCACCAGCATTATTTCATTTGTACACTCCCCTCCATAAGTTTGGCAACCTTAGCTCCCCCATTGGACTACGTGTTAAAGCCTCTTAGCGTTTGAATTTTTATTTACTTAACCTGCAATGAATAATTTATAATATTGATGTAAACGCAACTTGACTTTATTTCAAATACCTTCAAATTTTCCCATTTTTTCCACAATTACAATAGGTCGAAAAATGATGATTAATTTGATCAACTTTTGTAAACCAATGGGAAATGATGGGTTTGGGGCAAATCAGAAATCAAGATATCTATTCAGTAAAAGATTCAGCAAAAAATAATCTTATATAGAACATTGAATTGTCTAACGTTTTGTACACTAAGTGTTTAATTTACTTGATGCATACTTAAGTAACAGAGCTTCAAAGTCATTTTTGAAAATCGCCTCCTGTGTTATTTCAATGGGAGAGTTTTTTTGAAAAACAATTTTGTCTTTAAAGACCTATTACTTTGTTGAACCTGAAGAAACGTACCAATTTTTTGTCAAATAAAGTTAGCAAGTTCAATTGTCTACCTAACTTGTATTTTTTTGCAAGGACTCGGATGGATGAATATTTTGTCATATGACTTGCGGCAAACCTACCATTTCCCATTGGTTAACATAGGAATGTTGATTTTCAAAAATGCATCAAATTTATCATCAATTTCCGTCCTATTGTAATTGAGGAAAAAATTGAGAAAGTTTGGAGGTATTGGAAATAAAGTCAAATTACATCTCCATCAATAGTATAAGTATTTTCATCGCAGGTTAAGTAAATACAATTCAAAGGTAAAGAGGCTTCAACACGAAGTTCAATGGGGGGGCTAAGGTTGCCAAACTTATGGAGGGGAGTGTACCATCGTCTTGTTAGAAGAGGTATACTGTTATAGTCCAATCTTTATATTTTAGGCGTGATGTCTTGTACGGCAGATAAACCATGGTGTAAGGGCACTGTATGGAAGGAGAAGGGTATATATTAACTAATTCACAGTACAAATAGTTAATGTAAAATTGTTAGACTATGGGGAGTTATTTTTATAGTTTATATTAAAACGAATTGGAGCAATGTCTGCAGAGGTAATTAAATACTAAACTTGGGAATTATGAGTAAATTTTGGTAATTGCATGTCTCATGTAGATATTGAAAATTTGGCGCTCGGAAAACCTGCCTCGCAATCAAAATACACGACATTGAATGCTGGTCTTGCTGTCGATGGTGTAGAGGATGGCGAATACTACCATGGCTCATGCACCCATACTCACATGACGAGCGGCAATTGGTGGATGGTTGACTTGCAGGATATTTATCCCATTGGATCCGTCAAGCTGATAAACAGGAAATGTGGCGAAAGCAATTGTAGAAGTCCTCAGTACGCTACGTATGATGTAGAAGGTACTTTTCACTGAAATTTGAAAACCCAAACCTCCATTGAGCTTGTGTTAAAGGCTATCCATGTTGCAATTTTTATTCGTAAAACCGGTTTTAGATGAATATCTAACCACAGCTGCTAAGCAGCAAAACCAAAGAAGAAAAATACATTAAAGGGACCCAACACCATGGTCACATGATCAGTCGTGTGGAGGTAAGCTCCCAGTTGAAATGAAAGCACTGTCCTCCTTTGGTTTCTGTGAAAAGTAGCTAATACCCTCATGTATTGGTCAGTTTGTGTGTCACACGACTAATCCATACCATATGCTTCATTCAACATATTTTATGCTATTGAGCTGCATATATAAACAGTACTTTGCAACTAAGGTCATACAGTATACTTACCCCTTGCAAATTGTAATTTTTTGAATTCACAGTAAACCCATCAATTTTTAAGAAAACAAAGAATATTGTTCTCATGGATCTATTATTTATGTTAGACTAACTATGAAAATATAAATATGAAATAATATGTTAGCTTGAAGTCATATATAAGATGAAAATATATGTTCATGCATTTGCATTTTTCCAAAGGGAATATTCCCATGTAAGTAAATACAGGTGCAATATATAATTTATATGTATATCTATGTCATCTGTCTATACATGCGCGTATAGCCTAGTGTTACATGTGAACAAGATGGTTCTTGAAAGAAATGAGCGTGGCAGATTTGCTAAAAAGCCACATACACCACAAAAGCAAGACCAATTTGAAAGTAAGTTCATTATTCTCAAGGGTACACTTCAAGTGAAAGCTGCATTGCTACAGGGTGGCCTATCATTCTGAGACAAATGTATTATCCAACGATTGTGATTTTCGAAGCTAAAATATGATATCTTGAGCAGATGGAAATACATTCCCATGAGATATGTATATATAGTCAAAAGTGATAACTATTTATTGAGTGTAATGAAATGTATCCTTCGCTAACTGCTTTTGTTTGAGATAATTAACATGAAATATTTTTAAATTAATTTTTATGTGTGTCATTGATCCTAATCCACCCTGTAGTCTGGTGTTTGTAGAGCATTGCGACTCGTACAACTTATTCTCACAAATATCAAACCTCATTTACTAATTAATTTTTTGTGTGAATATGAAGAGTCCAAGCATTGCCTTTTTATGTTTATTGTATAGCTATATTTAGCCTTGATATCCATGATTTTTTAAAACAAAATCTCACCGTTAGATTTCGAGCTATTCATGTTTACTCATTTGTCTAATTGGAAAACAATGCAAATCTCATTTTTTCAAAAGAAAAAAATTGAAATTCTAAGACGGTGAAAAATCATTAAAAAATACACAGATTCAGAATCCGGCAAGCATTTTCCCTTATTCCTCTCCGTTAAGAAGTTTTGTAAGGTGTTGGATTCCTTAAAAGAGATCATCTAATCATGAAGGGTAACAAACCATAAGTACCCCAAACTATGATCTAATGCACAGGGGAGCCGTGCCTAACAACTGCCTCGACCATTAAGGAACAGATACAACAATGCTTTTAATATTAAAAATGTCAATTACAGTTATTTTGTGTTATTTTACAGATCATCTTTCAAATTTTAAAATCAAAGTCAGCAAAGACTCTAAAAAGTGGGAGCTATGTACTTACTTCAGAAGTACAATGGAATCTTGTAAAAAAGGCTGTCAGATGTTTTACTGTCCAAGTGGATTGAAAGGGCGCTACGTCAAGGTTCAGTTGCAAGAAATGAACTTTCTCTCACTCTGTGAAGTTGCTGTTTTTCGACCATCAAGTAAGTAATTTCTTTATGAATAAAATATATGACATATACGAGACACATCGCCACATTCTGAAAATACAAGCATTCGAGAATTTCTAATGGTGAATTATGAGACCTATTTGTATAAAATCTGATAAAATGACCAATTCCTATCCCATAATGCCATATGGTCTCATAATGTTACAGAATTAAACAATCTTGCCCTTGATAAAGTTGCAACACAATCGTCGATTGATCAAAACATTAGTACAAATGGTGCCGCCGCAATTGATGGAAATGTAGATGGCGACGTTGAACACATGTCTTGTATTCAAACCAGAAGTGAGAGAAAGCCATGGTGGATGGTAGACTTACTTTCTCAGTATGCCATTGGGTCTGTGGCAGTGTTTAATAGGCAATGTCGTGGCATTAAGAATTGTGGCAAACGTCATCTTGAAGTTATTTGTTTGCATTATTGCACGATTGAACTCATGAACTAAGAGCTTATTAGTTTTATTTAATTTAAAATTACCCGTGTACGTCCCAGTTGCTATCCAGGAATGTCCATAATTATATTTTATACATCACAATATAAGGTCGACATATTTTGTCAAAGTGTTGAAGAAGGTTTCCGATGAGCAATTTTTCCTTGCTTTCATATTTTTATCCTTTTCAATTCAAAAGTGCTTAAAATATTTTTAGAACGACTCCAAAACTTCAAAATTGAATTGAGTCGGGACAATGTGACTTGGGATCTATGCTATCATCAGAAAAGTACTTTGGGAACATGTGGGCATGATTGGCGGATGTTTAAATGTCCACATGGCTTATATGGGCGTTATGTAAGAGTACAGCACCATTTCAACTATCCACGCATTCTCACACTTTGTGAAGTTGCTGTTTTCGAACCATGAAGTACAACACTATAATTCATTCATTTACGTTTATTCTATCCGCCAATAATGATATGTTTACATGTATTACCATAATATGATTGTAAAATTTCTTGAGAATTCAGAAAATACAGTCTTCTTGAAAATTGTTCACTTAACATGCCTTTGCTATTATGAGTATAACATGAGTCTTACGAATATGCATATAAATTAAGCTATTGTATCGTTTAAGATACAGGTGAATTTATACTTAAATTACTACATTGAATTGAATTTGGCATAGATTTGGTTACAGTATTTGTTTGTAGAAACCATGGAATCATCGATTGTGGTTAACGAACAAAATGTTTTATTACGATCAATCCAATAAATAAAGGTTAATGCACAACCACCAATCATTGAAAATATCATTGAAATAATGAAACCACACTGTGTATGCGTATATTTTATGCTACTTATACAAACCAACCTACTTAGTTATGAAATCATAGCCTTTTATCTCTGTTTACTTCAAACAATGAAAAGGTAAGATTCCATTTTACATTTCTTTAATTCATTAATTATGTAATGAATTTAAAATACTTTTTTAGATTATGAAATTTCTATATTCAACCCGTACATTAATTGGTGTCATACGCCAAATTCTTTTTTTAATATAACAGCACATAAAATGAAACATATAAATCAAAAACCTTTGATCAATATTTATTCAGTCAGCTATCAGAAAAATCTCTCATCATCTATGATTTAATTTTTGCTCATAATAAGTATTAAAATGAAACTAGGTTAAATAAAAGCATATCTCCTTGCTTCTAGATGGAAGTAATGTATAGTGATGTTGTCACATTATCCTAATATATGTTCAAATTTTCACATTACAGCACAATTGGCATAGTATTAGCCATGAGGAGGTTTTACATAGTATTGTTTGTTGCCTCTTGTAAGTTCGCTTATTATTTGACGTTATACCCTCCAAAAAACTATTTAAATCGACAGATAATTGTAATAACCAACATAAAATGACACGAAAATTATCATGTTCGTGGTTTTTGCATGTATATTATTGGTTGATATAACATTAAACATCCTTAATTCCGTATGTTGTGCTTTGTCATCTGATATAACCAATTTTATCTGGTACTTTATTGTATCCTAATAGTATAGGAAACCAAAATTAGAATTTAAATTATATATATTAGATGCATGGTTTTGCAAAGCAGATACACCTTGGTGTGGAGGCACGTCTGGAAGGAAACAGGTGTGTCACTAAATTAAAGTATAAACAATTGATTCAAAAGTTTGTACAGTTCTAAATTTAAAGTTATATTATCAACCATAAATGGCAGTGTCTATTGAATTGCGTTTTGAAAATGGGATGAGCGCTGTCCATGTATCTTGAAAAATCGTTCAGAGACAAAATAGGATTTAACTAAAGTGTCTTGTTATGAGAAAGACAGTCATAGTAAACTAAAATATCAAAAAAGGAGAGAGTAAAGTATAGAAATTGCACGTGTTATTTAGAAATTCAGAATTTGGCGCTTGAAAAGCCTGCCTCCCAATCAAAATCGACGGCATTGGATGCTGGTCTTGCTGTCGATGGTGTAGAGGATGGCGAATACTACCATGGCTCATGCACGCATACTTGGCAGACAAGTGACATTTGGTGGATGGTTGACTTGCAGGATGTCTATCCCATTGGATCTGTCAAGCTCATAAACAGATAATGTGGTGAAGAGAATTGTGGCAGTGCCCCGGGCTCTCCTAAAATTGAAGGTAATTTACTCATGACATATTTGATATCCCTATTTAACTACATTATACATTAACGCCTTGATCATTGTAGCACTTTTGTTGCCAAAGATTCCACCTGAATCAAATGGATATGTCAGAACAGCTTGGGCGCCAAAATTACAACATACATTCGCAAATTACGATCAAAGACAATAAGAAGCAATAGTTACCACAGCATCCTCAAACCAGAAAAGAATGCCAGCCGTACAAAGACATTACAATCAATATTGCGCTGAAGAAAAATCTGAAACAAATATTTAAAAATACACTATGTGGTTAATTACAAACTAAAGAAATATTATTTACAGTACTTAATCAACTGAAAGTTCTCTTGTCTGTGTTATAGATGAACTTTCGAATTTCAAAATAAAAGTCAGCAAAGACTCTAAAAAGTGGGAGTTATGTACTCACTTCAGAAGTACACTGGAACCATGTAAAAATGGTTGCCAGATGTTCTACTGCCCTAGTGGACTGAGGGGGCGCTACGTTAAGGTTCAATTGCTAGACTGGAATTACCTCTCCCTCTGTGAAGTTGCTGTTTTTAAACCATCAAGTAAGTAATCCGCATCTTGAAAATACAACTACAAGAAAATATCTAAATGCCTATCTTATTATGCCATATGTTATCATAATGTTATAGAATTGAACAATCTTGCACTTGATAAAGTTGCAACACAATCATCGATTGATCACAGTATTAGTACATCTGCGGCCGCTGCAATTGATGGAAATGTAGATGGCGACGTTGAACACCTCTCCTGTATTCAAACCAGAAGTGAGAGAAAGCCATGGTGGATGGTCGACTTACTTTCTCAGCATGCCATTGGGTCCGTGGCTGTGTTTAATAGGCAATGCCGTGGCAGTAAACATTGTGGCAGTATCCCCATACGCATAGAAGGTGGTGTGTCATAAATAATTGTAAAACAACTTATGAAAAAATCTATTTTGAAAGGGACACGTATTGAAGCTACAAAGAAAGTTTTTTTAAAGAGTAATTTAACTTGTTCATACATTTTACGTTCATAAAAATATATAAAATGGTTAGCGATATACTGTAGTTCACAATAATCACTTATAGTCAGAAATGATGTTATCGTATGTAAACTATAACCTCCTAGCTTTGTGGAGGAATATCGGTTCCAGTCCTTTTAATATTTTTTATTTCCATAATAATCCATCTACTGAGTATAATTAAGTGGTTATACCATTTTAGAACAACTGCAAAACTTCAAAATTGAAGTGAGTAAGAATAATGTGACTTGGGAATTATGCTATCATCAAAAGAGGATGTTGGGAACATGTGGAGATGATTGGCGGATGTTTAAATGCCCAAATGGCCTATATGGGCGCTATGTTAAAGTACAGCATCAGGTTTTAAAGTTTAAACGCACTCTCACACTATGTGAAGTTGCTGTTTTCGAACCATAAAATACTGTACCATTGTGAAACATCTGGAAGATTAGCAAATACAGTCCTCTAAAAAATAGTTTACTGTTAATATTTGTTCATTATTTACCGATGTAATCATAGGTCGTCCAGAATTTCTAATTACATTTCAAAAGTAATTGCTGGAAAAAATGCAAGTGGAAAATAGCCCTTTGAATTAAGAAAGAGGTTCCCATCTGTCCCACACCAGTGCCAGATATATAAAAATTATTTGTTTAATAGGTGAAGACTGGGATTCGTTATTAAGATTCTACGAACTTGAGAATTATGAATCCGATCAAAATAAACTAAAACATATGTTACGTATATCATTGGTCTTTGATATTGATATACAGACCATAAAGCATAATCTTTATCTACCGTATTATACATTTCAAACGTACACAGGGTGGGTACATGTTAAGTTTTAACGGACACATCAACCCCTTGAATCTCATCCCCAATAAAACGCAAGCCCCGGATAACTGTTAGTAATATCAGTTACAATGCCGTTTAGATTGGTTCATACAATTGAAACTTTCATGTAGTTATAATATCTAAAAAGTCTAATAAAGTGCACAATATTCAGAGAAATATTTTATGTCCATATATGGTGTGTGATTTCGGTTTGTTTGATCATTATATCTGCATGTATTAATTATAAATGATAGTGTATTTGAAAACAGTCTTGTAAAATGCATTTTAGAATGATAATAATACGATAGTTAATACAGGGTGTTCAAAAAATACAAATTCAATTATGTTCATTTTTTTCAGGAAAGAAAGAAGAGACTGTGTATGTATAGCTCCTGTTGTTAGTTAGTTGTAAAACATGATGTCCTGGACATCTGCTCAAGCGACATTAGTATTAGAAAAAAATACGAAAAACGCGAATGAAAAATCGCTATATCTTGGAAAATACGCATTCAATTATGTTCATTTTTTCAGGAAAGAAAGAAGAGACTGTGTATGTATAGCTCCTGTTGTTTCCTAGTTGTAAAACACGATGCCTTGGACACCTGTTCAAAAGACAGTTGTACTGGGAAAATACGAAAAATGCAGTCAGAGGTGACTGCCACAGCAATAAAACTAAATAACTTTCTAACCATAGTGTTTTTGGCACTTCAGATTTGGCACTGTAAATTATCCTCATTTAATGTGTGGTAAATTTGTGGAGTTTCATCAAAATCACTCCAGGGACTTTACAGTCATGGTCAAAATGCCTTCTTAAGTCTGCCTGAAAAAGGGCGTTTGACTGCGATTTGAAAGCATTTCGACCATGACTGTAAAGTCCCAAAAGTGATTTTGATTTCACTCTACAGATTTATAAAACATTGAATGAAGATGATTTGTACCAAATCTGAAGTGCCAAAACACTATGGTTAGTCATCCCTGACTGGGTTTTTCATATTTTACAAGTACAACAGTGTATTTTGAGCAGGTGTCCAAGGCAACATGTTTCACAACTAACTAACAACAAGAGCTACATACAAAGTCTCATCTTTCTTTCCTAAAAAATGAACATAATTGAACCTGTATTTTTCAGGATATAGTGGTTTCTTTGGGTTGCGTTTTTTTTACACCCTGTATATTCGTGGTTCAATTAAAATGTAGTCATAAAACTACATTTCAGCATCCCATAATTACAACTTTATACAAATGGCAATCACCAAGTAACCTCAATTTATATATTCGTGTTCTGAGGTATGATTCAAACTACAATTACCAAGCTTGAGTTTGATAATAATACAGATAAACATATCTTTCATGAAATTATGTTATACCTATTCATTGCAAGAAATTATATGGCAGGTTTCATGATGCTTCTAACATCTGAACATGGGCTCTATGGCGAATTTTTCAGACATAGAAATCCAATTAAATCCAAATTGCAAAATCGATGAACGTTTTACATGTACATACTGTAGCACATTTTGGATTTACTTTTGCGTGTAGATTTCAAATATGATATATCTTTGACTAAATTCTGATTAAAGCTCCAATCACATTTGCTCTCCGGCTACCTATATCGACCATAGTTCCTTGGAAATTGTGATCTCCATAAGGAATTTTTCCAGGCTCGCCGTCGAAATTATAACTTGGAGTTTATTTGGAAACTTTATTTATTCTGTTTGTTTTTAATTTTATTCAGTAGAAATTCAAAGGTTCAACAGTGGCCGCACGTCGACTTGCATCTGCCGTTTTATTGGTTACAATTCACCTTTGCGAACCATAGGTACGGCAACCTTAGTGTTTATGTTTCCTCAAAATCAAAATATGCCGTACGGATGCTACTATCTTACCGCAGAAATTGTAAGGCGACAGTAGAAATATTATTGACCACAGAAGTGATATACTATCAGTCAAGTCCTAGTAACTAAGTCAACATTCGAAAATAAAAATCTCAAAAATCGTACAGCTTTGATTTCCAAAATAATTTGTGAGGTGGTTATGAAGATGATAATACACATTTTAACGTATCAATTTTGAGTACATCTCGAATCCATTCTCAACAAAGCGTTTGCGAAATAAGTAATCGAAATGCTTGAGATCAGGATGATAAACGTACGTTAAGATATACCGCTCCTTAACAAATTCCTTTTGGAAACAAGATATAGAATCAAAAGCATATTCTTCTTATTTACTCCCTGACACATGCCAACAAATGTTACATAAGTAAATATCGCCGTTTTAAATAATTTTGTAAACGTTGTTCTCTACAGGTGCAATTTTTTATAATTGAAAAACAATTTTGGACATTTTGCATTTCTAAATTAATAAGTTTCTTGGAATACAACATAACTGTTAACGATTTAAGTCATTAGTGATATTTTCCCATGATAAATAGACAGTAACTTGGTCAATGTTTTATGTTCAACCTTGTTTTCATGACTTTTAAACATGAGTCGACAATAAAGTAGGAAATTTCAATTCCAAATGTCAGCGTGTCGACTCGTGTTTTTCACAATATTTAGCCTTTTATCATGATAGATCGCCAAAATCTGCATGTACCTCTCAATGAGGCGATATGTTTTTAAATTTAGAGATGTAAGCTATAAACTCAAACAAAAAATCAAACAATCCGCTATTATTATGATTGCACACGACGAAATTTCCACTCCCGGGGAGCACTTTGGTAACTCTTTGAAGGAGGATTCTTGAAAAATAGTTCGAATTTTCACAAAAGGATTCATGCAATTTCATTGCTTGTTTAAACCCAACTCCGATACCACTATAATTATAGATTAAAATGAACCATTAAACTCAACAGGTTATAAGATAAACCGTTTCGAGCATTGATGAATTGAGTTAAACTGTGGATATAAATGTAAGTCGGCATGTATTCGACAGTCAGTTTACACATATGAAGTATACATCAACGTATGACCTAAATATCAATTCGTGACCATCATCTTTGGCTTTCAAATTGAAGTTGGATGTTCCAGTAGGAGGAGATAACCGAAAACTTCAACCACATCCAAATATCCGAACGACGTCAAATATTAACAATACACTTATTGTGCATCTCGAACAAGGCATCTCGAACAAGTTTCTGGGATCAAGCAATGTGTATTCCGAAAGAAAAAATGCACACATATCAACAATTTTTATTGAGTAGGAGATTACATTCGAAATCACAACTTTCAAAATATTTGTTTCAACCAAGAATTGTAAGAACTTGAAACGTGTTGTTAGTTTTTCAAAACGCATATCCTCATTTACGTTCATTGACAAGGATGAATCCATTTGAAAACATGGATTTTCTTGATTATTCATCAAAACTACCCTTGAAATATAATTATGTACTACTAGGATATTACAGTGTAAATTGACGCTCCATATCATGAAAAAACAAAGGCAGTTCAATATGTCAACATTCGTAAACAGAAAGTTCATTCTATAGTACCCAGGACAGGTTGAATGATGCAGTCGTGTTTTTACTCTATATTTGCAATAGGACAACCATTCTTATTTAAATGTTCATGATATATTCTGGAGACAATTTTCAACATGGAAAAAAATAATTGAAGTAGGGATATACAGGGACATAGTGGAAATTCAGAAATTTGGGCCATATCTTAAAGATTGCTTCACCAATATGCAAAATAACATCTAAATTATCATTTACACGGATGCTGCTAGGTATATTGAAACTAATTACACAAAGGTTAACTTCGATTGTGGCACCCATTCTTAGTAAATATTGATGGACATACGAATTTCGAATGTTGACTTAGTTACTGGACTTGTCTGTATTCGAAACAAATGTGACTGAGGCATCTCATGATGACAATCAAGAATATTTTTACTTGTATCTCGTCTGTTGTCTGCTCTCATCGTTGCACCTAATTCAATT